TTACTGCCTGCTGCTGCTACCTCCTGTTGTTGCTGCTGCTGCCTACTGCTGTTACTGCTTGCTGCTGCTACCTCCTGTTGTTGCTGCTGGCTACTGCTGCCTGCTGCTGCTGCTACCTCCTGTTGTTGCTGCTGGCTACTGCTGCCTGCTGCTGCTACCTCCTGTTGTTGCTGCTGGCTACTGCTGCCTACTGCTGCTACCTCCTGTTGTTGCTGCTGCCTACTGCTGCTACCTCCTGTTGTTGCTGCTGGCTACTGCTGCTACCTCCTGTTGTTGCTGCTGGCTACTGCTGCCTGCTGCTGCTACCTCCTGTTGTTGCTGCTGGCTACTGCTGCCTACTGATGCTACCTCCTGTTGTTGCTGCTGGCTACTGCTGCCTGCTGCTGCTGCCTACTGCTGTTGCTGCCTACTGCTGTTGCTGCCTGCTGCTGCTACCTCCTGTTGTTGTTGTTGCTGCTGCCTACTGCTGTTGCTGCCTGCTGCTGCTACCTCCTGTTGTTGTTGTTGTTGCTGCTGCCTACTGCTGTTGCTGCCTGCTGCTGCTGCCTACTGCTGTTGCTGCCTGCTGCTGCTACCTCCTGTTGTTGCTGTTGCCTACTGCTGTTGTGTCCTGCTGTTGCTGCCCAATGCTGCTTGCTGCTGCTGCCTGCTGATGTTGCCTCCTCTTGCTGCCTGCTTCTCCTGCTTCCTGCTACCACACACACACACGCACACACACGCACACGCACACACACGCACACACACACACACACGCACACACACACACACACACACAATACACAAGCACCTGGCCAGAGATATATCAGGTTTGATCCAAAGAAGAGTAGGTCCACCTCCTCGGATCAAGAACCCTTCCCCCTCGTACCAACACCCCCCATTCCCCCTCACTTTAGACACGAGTCCTCAATTTCAATTAGTGAATTGATTATAAATAATATATGAAAGGGGGAAGGAGAGAGGGAGATGGGAGGGAGGGGAGATGGGAGAGAGGGGAGGGGGAGGAGGAGGAGGAGGAGGGGGAGGGGTGGCAGTAAGAATTAGTGTTAAGTCTGGGTACAAGAACTTCAAATACTGAGGCCAGACGGATGTCACAATCTTAAGTCTGGCTACAGTCCGGTGGCCAGATCAAGAACCTCAAGTAGTGAGGCCAGACAGAAGTCACAAGTGTTCAATCTTAAGTCTGGTCACAGTCCAGTGGCCAGCGGTACAAGTACTGAGGCCAGACAGAAGCCACAATTGTCCAATACTGAGTCTGGCCACAGTCCAGTGGCCAGCAGATCAAGAACATCAAGTACTGAGGCCGGACAGAAGTCACAATTGTCCACATAGTCACCCTGGAGGAATGGATAGCAGACTACATGAGTCTACACTTGTCTACCTGACACCTACTAACAGCACCCTGAAGGAGGTAGGGCTGTCAGTTTCAGGGTGACCCTGAAGACCCACACATACACAGGACTGGCACCTTGCTATAACTTTGTCCCAGCAGGTCAGGGACCTTCAGGGCACAAGGGCAAGTGTGCTTTAAAATTCCTCAAAGATTTAGGCGACAAACTCATCGTGGAAACCACGGATCACAGGGCAGCCAGCTTCCTCTTTCAGAGACCCAGTGTTGTGATCCAGAGAAATAATGCCTGCAGCTTTGTTATACACATTTTTCAAACTGCATGGATTCTCCCAGTGTATTCTGCTTTCAAATAAAGTTGATGTAGCATATAGAGTTGTGTCCCAGCTCCAGGATGCATCCTCCTGGGTACTGAGTGAAGAATTTTTATCTCTGAGGCTGTGGGTACTCTGAGTCTAACTGGACTTCCTACTCATTTCAGCAACGCTGCAAGCTCCTAACGATGCGGTGACACATGAAAGGCCTAGAGCTATCATTCAACTCCCTGTGGTTATTTTGCATGCACATATACAACGCCGGCTGTCTCTGAGGCAGGTCGACCCTAAAAAGAAAAAAACACTTTCACCGTCATTTACTCCACTGTCTTGCCACAGAGGGCACTGATACCATAGTTCAAGACTGCAAAGGGAGAAGAGGAAGAGGATAAAAAGCAAGGGGCGCTACCCCAGAGACAGAGAAGTGCGCGGGCGCACAGGTGGGTGTGCGGGCACGCGGTCTGGCGGGCGTCTTGCTGTGCAAACTCCACTGAATAATTGAGCCAGGGCTATAGCATCAATTAATTAGCGTCTAATAGGCTAATTAAAGGCCCAAACACTACAAGTCACCGGCAGCCGCAGAGCAAGAAACAGAAATTAGCTAATATTTGGTCTTCATTAAAGTGCCTTGCCAGTGTTATTAACTAATTGATAGTCTACCATCCAGGGAGGGATGTGTAGGATAGTGAGGGGATGTGTGGGATAGTGTGGGGATGTGTGGGGTAGTGCAGGGGTCATCTGGGATACATGGGATCATGTCTATATATGGAGGCCTGTCTATGATATATGGAGGCCTGTCTATGACATATGGAGGCCTGTCTATGACATGTGGAGGCCTGTCTATGATATATGGGGGCCTGTCTATGATATATGGAGGCCCATCTATGATATATGGAGGCCTGTCTATGATATATGGAGGCCTGTCTAGGATATATGGAGGCCTGTCTATGATATATGGAGGCCCGTCTATGATATATGGAGGCCTGTCTAGGATATATGGGGCCTCTGAATATGGGAGCCTGTCTGGGATATATGGGAGCCTGTCTGGGATATATGGGAGCCTGGTTGTCAATATATGCCAGGAGTGTGACCCAGGCCAGGGTGTGTCTGGCCCAGGCCATGGGGGTGTCTGGTCTGGGCTACAGGGGGTCTGAGCCGGGGCCAGGTGGAAGCGGCCCGGGCCACAAAGGTACTTACTAACACATTCATAAGGCAGCAATCAGTTAATTAGCTGACTGAAGGCACGCTGCTCCTCATCTAGTATGCTAGCCTAGCAAACACAAAAATTAGGCTTACCCTGACCCCACAGACCCCCTGACCCCCACACACACCCCTCTGAACCCCACACACACCATGACCCCCACACACCCCTGACCCCCCACACACACCCTTGACCCCAAACTCACACCCCTGACTCCCACACACACCCTTGATCCCCAAACTCACACCCCTGACCCCCACACACCCTTGATCCCCAAACTCACACCCTTGATCCCCAAACTCTCACCCCCTGACCCCCACACACACCCTTGATCCCCAAACTCACACCCTTGATCCCCAAACTCACACCCGACTCCC